AGCTCATTCAATGTTGACAAGTGATTATTTTGTTGGTTGGCCCGTCTTGTAGTGAATCCTAATTTCTTCAAATATTTAATGTAGATTTCTGAAAATGTCTGTGCAGTCAGGCTTGTCAAGAGACCTTCTAAATCAGCGTTACATTGTTACTTAGAGCAAAAGCACCACTCATGTATTTAGCTCTTTAATTATGATGGTATTTATTATTAGGAGTGTCTGAGGCATCGCAGAGTCATCACACAAACTCTTTTATGGTTTGAAGGCTGATTTGTGCAGGTAAATTACTCAGCAGGGGCTCTTGCTGTAACATAACAAGGGCTTAAACATTGCTGAATAACTGCAATGCCCTCTCAAGAAATATAAGAGAAAGTATGGTTTTAAGTAATATCAGTGTAGCGAAAAGGCAGGTGAAGAATCCAAAAACTAAGGAGACAGTTTAAAAGACTCACTCGATTGATGTTGCTTTCAAGGACTTGCTTCATCACAGCATCATTGGCGAGGTCAAAAGCTGTCTGACCTGCAATATGTAAGGATGCAGAAAGTAATTAAGTGAAAAGAGACTTAACAAAAACATCAAATTTGTGAAAAACTGATATAACTGATATCAAGTTGCACTACTAGCATCTATAGACAGTCATGTAGGACATGCGTATTAGGATTTAAACGCATATCATACTAAGACGACACTTGTGCTTGTATACAAGCTGAAATCTCTTTCACAGAAGAAGAAAACATTAAGTGTCAAATCTATTGGCCTGCTAAATATTACAGGTGTCTCCATTTGATTTGCAATGAAAGATTTTGATTTCTGCAGTGAGCAGTCATTATAACCAGATGATCTTTTCAGCGTCATGCTACCACAACCACAAAAGGTTTTATTCATTTTTTTTTTCTTTTTCAGAGATAGGGGTCCAATGAACAGTATCAGAGTATCAATATCAGAGCAGCCTATTTAGGGTTATATCGTAGCTATAGTAGTGCATGTGTCATACCCTGCTTGTTGTTAATACTAGGACTGGCTCCACTCTTGAGCAGCTTTAGGGCGCACTGCCTTTGCCCACGATAGGCTGCACAGTGCAACGGCGTGTTACCCAGCAGATCTGTGCAGTTGATGTCTGGAGGCTTCTTCCTGCTGAGCTGAAGCCAAACGCATGCAACAGAAACAGATGGAGCGGTGTAGCGGTTATTATTCAGGAGAACACCCAAGCAGAACAGTTTGATTTGTGTATTTCTCAAGAGCAATTAGCCCTCTGCATTTCTGATATATGTTGTTGATGCTTTGGGCACATTTTGAATTTATAAAGTCAGGTATTAAATGTTGTAATTAGACCTTGTGATGACCTTTTCATCTGAACTGCACTTCGTCATGCAGTTTGTTAATTTTTCAGTAGTCCATTCAACATATCTCCATCATGTTCTTCACCACAGAATCTGTTCCTTGATGTTCCTCTTGACCCCCTACTTGACAACTTCTATTTGACCAGAATATAAGAATCTAAATGTAAAATCTTCAGTCCAACGTTATATTCCTCTAAAACATCCAATATGAGCCATCTCTCTGGTATGCTCACTCCTAATCCTATTATTTGACACATTCAAAATTAACCAATCTTACTAACACAGTATGTTTTTCAATTAACAAAACAGATTTGCACAATAATATATTACTGAATACCAATCTAAATTGTTTCAGACATTTTAAATTGAGTTAAATAATTTATGTTTTCTCTAATTCATATTAAAATGCATTAATAAATAGTAGAGATAGACCTTTAATGACATTGTCTTTTTCATGACCGATGCCGATACCAATTGTTTACTTTAGAATACAGAGCAACCGATGCCCAGTAAGCGCTGCTGATATTTCTGGGCAGATATTTTAGACTGATTTTGATTATTTTCCCAAAATTATGTAATTTAAATTTACAACAAACTCCACCCAAGCCCTTTCTTTCCTTTTTTGTTTTACCACAAACCTATAAGAGAGCTGTGTAGTTACATTTAGTGCCGCTGTCTCTTTGTATTAAAGTGTTAATATGAAGCTTTGGTGTAATTTTTAGGCAACAGACTGACCTAAACAAAATATTGACCTATGCTGGAGATTTCTGGCTGATAGTCAATACACTATAAAGTCCAAATATTGGCCACTATAATAATTCGCTTCTGTAATAATTAGGAAAAAAATATAAGAAGAAAAATATTCAGAAACCAAAAAGCAACTGGGTTGTAAGAAGCTCACACCATCAAAACAGCAAAATCCAACAGAGCAGAACATTAGCCTTTTCTTAAAAGAACTGTTAGCTGTAGATGTCACTTTCCACAGCAATCAACTGCATCATTAAGTTCAAGCTTAAGACCAAGCTGAAAACTAAACAAACTGCACCCATTTGTAAATACTGATGACATGAGATGAGATGGTGTAATCCCACATTTGTCCAGACATGGTTCAATATATAGAAGCTTTCTACGGTGGTCATCTGTACACAGTTTTTGCTATCAAGTCTTTTTGGATCACATCCAGAAGCCCTTTTCGATTCTGAAATTTGAAAACGACTTCTCTACTTTCATTAATGCAATACGTTATTCCAAATCTAGCACTCACCAACTGATTTAATGTGGACAAGTCTCCTTCTCGTGCTGCCTCCAAAAGACTGTTCTCCAGCTTTCTCTCCTCTGTCCGCTCAGCCGCTGATATTAATCACAGTGTAATAATAAATAAAATATAAATGCATCCACTTTAAATAAGAAGTAAAAATTTGTACGATTTGTTAGCTCTCTCACCTTCTAACATGCCTCTGATCTCTGCGTTTTGTGTGACATCTTTGGGAATCTGTGCGGTTCCATTGATGACAGTGGCACATGCATCATACTTTAGCAGCAGCATCACAACCTCCTGAGACAATATTGTTTGATCAAATTAATAGATGTACATGCATATTTGAAACTTAAAACATTTCAAACTTTTTACCTTTCGCCCTGTGAAGGCAGCTTTGTGTAGCGGTGTATCCCCAATATTATTTGGTAAATTAACATCTGCCCCTGCCTAAAAGAAAACAAACATGCAAAATATATCATCACTTATGCTTTTGATCAAAAATAAGATAATCTTCAAGAAACACACCCTAAGTAATTCCTCCACAACATCTTTGTGTCCAAAGTAACAGGCCAAATGAAGTGGCGTCCATCCCAGATTCGACTTGCTCTTTCCTAAGAATGAATAAATACATACATGAAAAGGTACTTTAACAACAACTATTTGAATACTTAAATCATATCATGTAGACCATGTGACATGTGTCACACTGCATTTGCTGGACATTTCCAGTGATTCTACTTCCACACCTTTGCAGTTGATGTTAATCTGTATCTCTTGCCTAGATTTAGACAACAGGAGTTTCTTGATGCCAGGAAGGTCTCCATTCCTAGCACAATGTAGAAATTCTTCCTCTGGTTCAAAATCCTCCATGCACACCTGTTACATCAGAATAAATTACTTTGAACAAAGTTATTTGCTCAAGAAAGTGCAATTCATGGCTACATTTTGCATTATTACAAAACTGTTGCAGAGGTCGTCAATCACAGGACAAGCCTGACAGGAAGAGAACATGCACTTTCTTAAGTCTTAGTGCACATGATCTTTTATACTTGCAAATGCCACATTGGCATGCAGTGACACTGATAAAAGAAAAACAACACCAACTTAACCTGTGTCATCAGTTATGCCTTAACAATAGGACATATTTCTGTGCTATGCAAATTCTTATGCTATCCAACTCTGAAAATGTTATACACACCAATCACTGAGAAAAGCCGAACACTGCTGTAAAATAAGGCTGTCCCTGTAGTTCTTAGGTGCGGGAACAAATGGCTGGGCTGGCTATCAAACAGGTTTACCTGGGACTAGAGCATGTGACTCAAACTCTAACTGTTTATAATAATCATCATACCATTGTTCAGAAAGAAATGAGAAGAACACAGACAAAACAAAAAGTAATTATAGATAACATAATCCATGTGGATTTTATATCTATATTCATACAGACTAAATTGTCTGTGGTGCCACTTTGTTTTTGTTAATTATGTAGGAGAGGTGGACAAGAATTTGAAACAATTTTCAGAGTAGTACTGAGTAATTCAATCAAGTCTAGTCTTGCTTTTGTGTGACTGTGAATCTCCAGTATTAGCACTAATAATCTTATAAAGTCTATTATTGAGGCTCAGTCATTTTAATACAGACCTTTATATGTCATTAGAGAGTTTGCTATTCTCATTTAGAGAGATGTTTATTGTTATCCACAGTAGCAGCAGTATTTAGAATTGCAATGCTTTCTGCTATAACAGCTATAACTAAATGCAACGATAAAATCAATATTGTTAGCAGCTATTGAACAAACATATGGGATCAACTTACTACTTGAACCAGCCTTGAATCGTGAATTCCAGCAGTGTGACCAGGCAGGACTGCTTTCACACAGGCCTTGTATACAGCAGCATGTGATGTTTTAAGCTCCTGTGAGCCTGTGCTTGTTTGCCCCTACAGTAGTAGATACTGCCTTTTTCGCCCCAACGTAACTTTATCTTCTTTAGCGCTACTCATCAAACCGTCACACACCAAACCACACGTCATATTTCCGCTATGGAGACTTCATTTGTCATGTGGACCTGACCGCTTGCGAAACACCACTGTCAAACGCCCAACACACACCCCTCTGTGCTCTGTTTACACGGACATCAGCTGATCTTCACACAGCGGAAGTTACGTGTACAACAGCCTTAACCTTTCATCGTAAAAGCCATTGTTTCATTCATAAATTGAGCAAATGCCTAAAACGGTCTACCATTTTACATTATTTTAAAGGCACTTTATATTATATGCAAATCAAAATTATGTACATTATTTTCACCCGAAACATAACGACAAAATGGAAGCGTTTTATCACGACAATTGTTATATTATATTATTTTCTTTAACCCGGAAGTACTCTGTGCACTCATTTTTTTTTTGTCAAAACTGTTCAGCTAGTTGTTAACATGTGTTTCACGTGTTATTCGTCACTTGTATTTTCCTAATTTTTAAACATGGTATAATATTTATAAAGTTGTGTAAACGTGTGTTATAAAAAGTGTAAAATACATGGCGGACTCAAATCAGGGGAATGGAGAAGACCTGCAGGCTCAAGTAAGAGAAGCTTGGCTCTCTCGCCCCTTTCTTATTCCATAAACTCTACTTTGACCTGAGATAACAACTCACTGTACTCAGTGTGCTAACATCGAATATGCCACAGATGGTATTTTTGGTAGTCATCAATGCATGTAATAACCACTATGAAGGATAATAATAATAATAATAATAATAATAATAATAATAATAATAATGATAATATCAACATTGTTGTTTTAAACTGTGTCTATGATTCCCACCGAGAACAAGATATATATATTACAATACTAGCCATGAAACTAAAATGTAGGTCACAATGTAACATGTATTTGAGTAATGTTGTGGGAAGTCACTGCTCTGCCCTTTACAACAGTAAACTCTTTGTGGTCCCACTGAGCTGTAGTTCTGTCATGACTTTCTGCTGCACTGTGCTGTTGTAAGCTACAGGGGGCGTGTCAGCCAAATTGCCTGTAATGACAGGTGTATAGAGCAGTAGGTAGTCTGTGAATGCTTAATGTACATCTTAGATGCCGCGGAGTGAAACCAACCTGAGAAATGTGGGATTAAGTGGTCAAGGTGTTATGCAGCTCAAACAAAGAGCCTTTTCTCTCTTTTCCAGAGAGAGACATGAAGTAAAAAGTAATTATCTAACTCTGTCCTACCGTTGAGGGAGACACTTCTGAAATGTCCCCAAGGTGCTGGGTTCATTAACACTTGTGATGTCTGAATCTCGGCAGGTGTTACTCTGTGCTCAAAGGCTGCACAACGACACGTTTTACAATCAAATCAGCAGCACAAAACAAGACTGACATTAATTAGCACCACTGAGGGGACATACTGTCAAAATGTGGACATACAGTGGTGCTGCTCTTAAATGACAGCATGCCATGGTTCTTTTATCTTTTTTATGATCATTATAAGCATCAAGTTACACACAGGCAAGAAGCCTTAACATTTTGGCCAAATAATCAAGTTTCTACTACAGTGTAACTAGCTGCTTTTGACATGCCATGATAGACATGCCCATATAAGTGTTCCTTTGAACTTGAGCCTTGTTTTTTTAATTAAAATTGTATTGTAATACAATTGTATTGTATTGCCTTTAATAACTGAAGCTCACTTTGACAGTGTTGTGTCTCTTTTTTCTAGATTGATGAGGTGGAAGCTCTGTCTTCGATATATGGCGATGAGTGGTGTGTCATAGATGAAGCCTCAAGAATATTTTGTATCAAAATTTCAGATGACATTGAGCAGCCCAAACTAACTGCATGCCTTCAGGTAGATAGATGCAATCCAGTACCCTCATGAATTTCTTCATTATCACTCTTATTTTTTATATTGATCAGATAATTCTCCCTGCGGACTACCCCAGTGCTGCCCCTCCCATCTACCAAATCAAGTGAGTCTATTTGACTTTCAAATTTAATCTTATGTCAGTCGGTCGAATTGATAAAACAACATCCCACTCAAAAACCCACTCGTGGTCCTACTCAATAACCCTCTGTTTGTTCTTGGCTTTTGTAGTGCTGCGTGGTTGCGGGGACCTGAGAGGGCCAAATTGGCAAACAGCCTGGAAGACCTCTATGTGTGAGTGCTGCTCATAATTTGTGACTTCACAAGGGTGCACTGTTGGATAATATTATTAGGCCAAACAACAAAAGCTTTTCACCATTGTGTTTTGTGTGTGGACAGTGGAGTCAGTGTCTTTCAGAAACATTTAAATTTCAACATGTCAACAGGCAACATGCTGGGGAGAGCATCCTGTACCTTTGGGTGGAAAACGTCCGAGAATTCCTTGTTGAGAAATCCCAGAGTGGGGAAGCAGGTGAGCTGTGAAAAATGAAAGTCATGCTTGAGGGCCACACAGACACTCGAAATTTATCAATCTTTTTGACATTCTTTTATACTAGACCCGGAAAGAGACTTTGCCGCACCCGTTAGCTTAAGACAATAGTTTCATCTTTAGGACAAATGGTTGTAATCTGTCACATCCATTATGTTTCTGTGCGGAAGTGTAGTCCTGGAAGTTGAGCTGTACTTTTCTTCTTATCTTTTTCCTTTGTGGAGTGCTACAACAAACTGCTTATAAGTTTTATGCCAGATTCACTTCCTGACATAATCCCTTTCCTATAGATGTCTTCAGCATTTTGATTTAATGGCAAGATTCATGCCCATTGGAATAATATTTACTCTAGTCTGGCATTTCATATTAAATTATAAATATATTTAATTACAACTTGTTGGGAAACCGTTCCTCTATACATGTATACGTAGTTATCAATCTTCCATTATGATATGATAACTAATATGTTTTTGCCCCTGACTAGAGCAGTAGTTTAAACTGTTTCACACTACCTGGTATCTTTCAGGATTTTGAAGGCTCTTCTTCCATTAGCAACACAATCATGATTTGGTCCGAGTCTCAGATGAGATAAGCTCAGGGGCTTGTTGGACAATATTAAAACCTTTTTGGGCCTGACTTTGAGTGACTGCTCTGAATTAAGATCAATATCTATGTAATGCCTTCTTTTGACTCGGCATTCCCCTTTGAAGTGTGCTAAAGAGTAGATACACCAGAATAAATGATTTTTGCACAGAATCACATAGTGTGGCGTAGTTGTTTTGCAGCTAGTAGCAAAGTATATTAAATATCTCTTTCTTTTATTGTCTGTCTGTGAGCTTGTGAGCCCTCTACGATTCATGTGGTAATAACTGGACAGAGTAGTTTAAGCACAGGAAACTAGCGTCAATGCATTATTATTCAAATCATTCAAATAAAACAGGCGTCTTGAGGGAAAAGGAGTTAGAGTGAGACAGGATGTGATAAGCAAAAAGATGCACATTTTGGCTAAAAGGAAATGAAAAATGCCTAAACACGACAGGGGGGGCAAAGGAGTAACACAAGATAATGGCTCCAATGATGAAGTTTTTGATGAATGAGAGCAGACAGGAAGAGCAGATGTTTGTTCACTAGCCACATAATTTCACACAAATGCATTGAATTCATAAAGTAAATCTATCAGGGCATAAACAACAGGCATTATTTATGAAAAACAAGCAAGGCATTAATATATATGGCTGATTATCCATTATAGTCACCCGCCTCCATGTGTGCCACTGTGCTATAATTCGCTCTTTTATTTCCATATAAAATGCCAGGGTCTTTTTTTGCCCACTGCTCCTCACTGGGGCACTTAACTAGAGGCTGAAAATAGCCTTTTGTCTAATGAGCAAATAACTAAAGCCTGCTAAAAGCACACCCAGCTGTACAGGAAATGATTTAACGTCTGTCTGTTTCAGAAATATAACAAAATTACACTCTTATAAACAAACACAGCGTCTTTTGGGGGATTAGTTGTGGCATTGACTTACAGCAAGTAGTTTAAAGGTCCAATATTATAAAAAAAATAACTTGTTACCTCATCATAAATGTACCTGGAGTTTTGTTTTGTTTCATTCAGACATGCTTACATCTGCTATGATCAAAATGCTCTGTTTCACCTTGTGATATCAAGAAGCGGTAGTTTTCAAGTTAACAGCTCCCTTTTACCTTTTGTTCAGTAGAGATCAGCAATTTCAGGGCTAAAAGTACCCAAATGATTCTAGTGAAGGCGTAACACAGTGGAGCACTTCCTGTGTTATCACATGACATAACAAGGTGGAACTGAGTGTTTTCTGTTTGAGAGAAGAACACAGCCCATATATGCACGGTTTGTGTGTTAAAGATGTGTGAATGACACAAAACACAAAGCTAGGTATGCTTGTAATGAGGAAACATTACAGCAGATCTGAAAGTAGTGCCTTAAATGAACCCTCTTTGTAAAATGTATCCACTAAATTATTTAATTTAGTGTAGTAAAAGTTTTCAGGAAGGATGAAAACAACTCATATTTGCAAATCAGTGCCTCAGAAAATGCTTATGAGTCTGCAACATTAAGACATTTTAGAAAAAAAAAAATGTTCAAGGAAAATTTTAGAAATTTTAGATAAAAGAAATAAAAATTGAGCCATAAAACCTTTATCACAACAGTAACTCATCTACTATCTATATAGCTACTCTTTTACTTGAAATGTTTCAAGGAAGGATACAAACAACTCAAAATTGCAAATCAATGCCTCAGCAAGTGGTTGCTTGTGAGTCTGCAACATTACAAAATATATCTGAAAATGTATCAGGGTAAATAAATCTGAAAACCATTACAATTTATAACAGTAAAGGAATATATAGATATATTATGTCTACTATTTTATTTATTTGTAAATGAATAACTCACTCATCAGAGGTGCCAGATGTATTGATACTTTGCAGCTGATTTCATCATCACTCCCTTGGCTGTAGGCATTGCTGTGTCTGAAGCTCTGTTACTCAAATTAGACTTTAATCTGAACTTTAGTTTAACACAATCCAGCTAGAAAGAGCTCACTTAGCTGGAGCTTCAACAGGGTAACTGATTAGTGCACTTAAACAAGTCTGTCAGACATCAAATTGCAGTCACAATTTAGCTACCATCAGCCTACACTTTTTCAGTTAGCCACTCTCACCTTTTTTGTTGAAAATGAAACAACTAAACAGCACGTGAATGCTCCTATTGCTCACAGACTCCTGATTGAGTCCATTTTGTATTTTTTATTGAGTTTTCAACAAACTTAAAAAAATGCCAGTGTTTCCTGTGTTGTTTCGCTATGGTAACATCTAAACATTTTCCCATAGACGTACATGTAGAACACCCCCAGCATGATGTCACTGCAAAGTTTTAATAATTTAGCTCACAATCAGTCTCCTTGTTGAGCAATGCAGTCAGTCAGGGCAACATGAGCATCAGTGTTCTGAGATCAATCTCCAATTCAGTTATGAAGACAGAAGAGATGCCAGACTTCTTAATAGAAGGTATTAGCGGTTTTCAATTACTGAAGAAATGTGTCAATTAGCTAACACAGGCGTGTGATCAATTAAAGAAAAACAACAAATTGCTGGACAAAATGAACAAGCAGTCTGTGGTCTGGATCAATGTTGGTTCAAGTTTGCAACATTTCTTATGTTCTATGTGCAAAAGGAAAGGAAACATTATTGCCTATTATCAGCTTCCCATTTTATAGTTTATATGAGCCATATGGACATTATTTCTCTACTTTTGTTGAAATATTTCATGTAGTAAATAAAATAATAAAATACATTCTAGAACTATAAGGACATTACAGCTCATTTTAAACTTGCTCCCTGCTGTGTTTAATAATGTATACACTGCAGTCTGCCTTGGACAGAGGGAATACATTTATATTGAGACAACAACAGATGTTAACTGGATTATAGCTAAAAATGCTAATTTTCTTCCAGACCCCTTGGGCAGGTAACAAAACGTATAACACATTCACAGCAATAGTAAAGCTGCAACAGATAAAATAAAACTGTGTACACCACTCTCTTAGTTTTGCCCAATGGTCCATGAGCTCAATGTAGAAGTTTGTTAATGCATTTACAAGAGTTTAGGCTGGGATGATGGTCAAATTCAGAGTCAAAAAGAAGAACACACTGCAGAGAGCCTTTATTTTTCTGCTGTTTATGGAAGCCACATTTCTCAGAAATAATGACATTATAGTAAATGACACACCATGAAAAATCACTTTAATCTTCACAGTCAAATTATTGTATTTTGCTCACTTTATCTATTATGATAGATTGACTTTTTGACAACATAAGACAGACTAGTGCAGTTCTCAAATAGACAGTATTTACAGTTCTTCATATTTTATCCTCCTTTTGGTGTTAAGTAGTTCTGGTTTCATCCCGGTTTAGTCCTGGGCTGGTTTCGGTACTGGTAAATGCTGTCTTAGTCCTGTGTAAGTCTGTTTTTCTTCCTCTGTAAACCTGCTTTCTTATTGAAGTTTGAGTTTACCATTTATTTCTACTGTTGTCCTGGATTGGCCGCAGAATGTTCACTCATTTTTCAAATTACACTGGTGTTTTTTGGGGTGGTGATTATTTCGCTGTGTGAACATTTTGAAAATCCCTGCTCTATACTGGAATATGTGTAAATTTTTGCCATCATCTTCACTTTTGCGCATTGAAGCGTCCGGTCATGCTCTGTGGCCAGGATGCAGACAGTTTGAGCTGGCCTCTGGTTGATTCCTATTACGGCCCGAAGAGGCGAAAATCGGAAAGAGAAAAATGCCTTTGAAAGAGGGTTCACTTCTGGGGCACAGATGGCAGCTTCTGTCATAAGACCAGTCAAAAAGTGTCTGAATGGAGCAATGACTGAAGCGACGCCCACATTTGCATCAGCAGAGGAAAAGTTTAGAAGAGGGGAGGAAATGGGGTGATAAAGCTTGTTTGAAGGGGTTTAGCGTATAGGGTCATGTAGGGGCATTGGATTGGTGCTGCTCAAAAATATCTATTGAAATCACATGAGTTATTTCATTTTCATTTGATTGAACATATTTAGATGTATTTTTAAGTTAGTTCTTTTTGTTACTCTATACAAGTGATTCCAGTGAAAGAAAATTTGATCAAGGATGATTGGTTTAGTATCTTTCTGGCAGATATAGGCCATTGAAATCATTGCGACCTTCATTTAGTTCAGTTGTATCTGAGGTTACAAATTTAATAAAAAAACAAGCCAATTAAAAAAATAAGAAGCTAAATGTACAGTAATAATATGGTTAAAACTCTAACATTTCTGCCAAAGCCAAGAGTTGTGCTTTTATTGTCCTGGTTTATCTCTATGCTTAAACGTGGGTTTAGCTCAGTCATGGTTTGGTCTTGGTTTGATCCCAGTTTAGCCCTGGTTTATTCCTTCTGGAGTACTTATTTGCAAAGATTTTACGCCTCAGTTTTAGTCCTGATTTGCTTTCATTTTGACCATTATCTTAGGGCTTTGCAATTAAACACATTTTAATAAAGATTAAGATTTACTCATTTGTAACTGTCAATGGTCAGCTTGGGACTTTTTAATTGAGAGATCCACAACCACAGTAAGCATGGAGCACCAAGAAGAAATTGTACTGTGATGAATGGTAATTATTCTTTTTTTTTTTTAGTTTTTAATAAGTCAAAATCAAATCAAACTTTGATCATTTGAGGAAAAAATATATATTATTGTCATATCATCCAGTTATATTTATATCTGTGGAAATATTATCTAAAATGTAATTACTCTTGCAAAATATTTCTTTATTTCACAAGTTTTCTCATTTCATTCACTAGATGTTAAATGTTGTGGGCACCACTGTCCACCAACCCTAGTTAACCTTAGAAAAAGAGACTTTAGAGCAATCCCAAATAATAAATACTTTTTCATTTATTGTCCCGTAGTGGAATCAATACCAATGACTGATCTCTTTAGCTCGAAAAGTGTCTCTCTGCTTCTTTCTTTTTTCTCAGCATCTTCATTCATCTTAAAGCAGCTGAGGCTCTAGCAGCAGACATCATCTATTATGGATGTTTGCCCTCCTGTAATAGGTCGTGAGAGGACTGTAGTGTCAGTAAAGGTCATCGGAGTTAATTCGGCAATAAGCAGCTCAGCGGGAGGAATTTTTAATGTCAAGGTGTAAACGCAGGTTCTTCAGAGGGTTTGGGGAATGATTTCTTCGACACAAGACATATCCATTCACTTCACAAGATATTTCTGTTAATTTTCGAAGAGATAGTTTACTCTGTGTGTCAGTTTTAACAATTATGATGACATCACTAAAATGTTGACTAAAAGGTTGTCAAAAAATCAGTACCCAGATGCTAATCAGTAGTTTTGGAACAGATTTGGACTTCAGATCTAGAATAAAACAGTTAAATGGTTAAATAAAGTGCTATTATTGTGTATTGAAAATTACATTCTATTAAAAAAAAAAAATGTTTTTATCATCAATGTTGGTATTGAATATCAAGCCTTTTTCTTAGTTGCAAAATGAACTTTGAAATCAAGGACCAATATTGGTTCAACAAAATAATGTTCATTCTGAAGTGAATGTTTTTTCAGAAAAAAATTAAATTATGTGAATTTTGGGTGAAAAAAATGCAGATAATGTTTAGATTTTTGTCTTCAGTTATAAGCAAAACTGTCAATCTGAACTGTTACTATGGTTCCCACAGTCATGGAAATTCTGGCAAGATCATGGAAATTGGAAATGTCATTTTCCAGGCTTGGAAAAGTCATGAAATCTTGTAAATTCAATGGAAGTTTTGGAAAAGTCATCTCTCTTTCTTTCTCTTGCAACTACAGCGTTCTGTTAAGTTATCATTAGGCTATTATGATTATTTCCAAATGTATGCGCCTTTTGTTTAAAAAAGACAACAATAAATGCATTCACAGTATTTTGAATGTTAAAAAATTATAATACCAAACCATAAGGTGAGTGGAAAGGGTTAACATTTCATATTTAGCCCTAAAAGTATGCTCAACTCTAGACATGTACGGTGCCATAAAGTCATGGAAAATTCACTTTAGGTCATGAAAATATCATGGAAAAGTTTTGAAGTTTTGTCAGTGAAAAAGAGTGGGAACCCTGTGTTAGATTTATACGAACTGCAAGTGCGGTGTGGTTTGGGACTGGTGCAGGTCTTAGAAGACTTAGAAAATCATTACCCTGACAGTGATCTTGGTGAAGTATGAGTGTGGATGAGGCGTGGGTCTGCAGAAAGAATCCACAAGAAGTTCATATTTCTGGGACACTGCAGCGGTCTAGTGTGGTTTTCGGTTATTAGATTTGTGTTATCATTGCTTTGGTCAAATACACACAACAGTTGTCTTGGCGTAACAGGCATTCTGCAAGTAACCCGTACAAAGTAATATAAACCCAACATAACACAGTCAGATTAGAGCCGTAATGCCTTTCTTAATACCACCCTATACCAACACAACATTACAGAGTCCGGATTACCCTGTTTGTTTGTAATTGCAAAATAATTAAGATGGCTGGCCAAGAGCTTTCCTTCCATTCACTTCTTTAATTACTACTGTTACAGAGGACCACCCGGCTAAAAACATCAACATAACAACTGAAGAGGAAGAAATGGAGGACGGAGAAGACATACCAGACTTCAGCTCTCTCAAACTGACCGAAAACGCACACCTTTTTATGGACCATTTGAATGGTACAGCCTGTTCAATGGGCCTCAGTACAATTATATATGTGCAGAAGTGTTTGTGAATATATTAAACCTACAATTTCATTATACAGACGACGAGATGCCGCCAATAAAACACGGTAATACCATCACGGACCGACGGAGCACTTTCCAGCCTCATTTAGCTCCCGTGGTGACACCGAGACAGGTACAGCGCATTTCACTGTTCAATATGCATTCTAAGGTAAATGGATCTATATACAAATTCCTTTGACCTTAATATTGTGCTGTAGAGAATCTTATTTATAATCTCTCAGCCTTATAATTGAAATTCAAAGCTGTACTTCGGTGTTATGTCACTCTTGCTATATAACAAAAGATCCAGGGTTCTTTTCCTGGGTGGTTTGAATTAGTTCTGTTTTAATCATTAATCGGTTGGTGGTTTCTTACTCTACTAATTTTTTTATTAGTTGAAGAATTGTATTGGGATTATGGGTTTTCTATGAACCACAGCAGAAAGGAGAAAGGAGTTTCGGGGGTGACTAGACAGTTTAATTTGCTTTTTTACAAAGATACTTTACTTTTACTTCTCTATTTATATCACATACTTAATTTTGTCAGTTCTGCTAACTACCCACTTTTAATTAGTTAATTAATTAATGTCTTTAGCCCACCAAGAATTTTGTTGTATGCTTGTGAGTTTCATCTGGACACTGGTTTCCCCCATGCATCTTAAACATGTACATTAGGCTGACTACAGGTTGGACTATGAAGTTATAGCTATGAATAAGGTCCCTGGGCGATGCAATGGGATGACCTTAGGGATTTCCTTCCTAATTCACATTTGAATCTAGTATTAAAATCTAAATCTGAATCTCCAAAAGTTGCCTTGACCTTGCGGCAAAGTACCATATTATCATATTCATTAGAATTTCTGGTTTGAGTCCAGGTGACTGCTTAAATCCAGCAGTGTTTAAAAGATTCTGTGCCAAGGGTCTCTGAGTGCTTCAGTTTTTCATCTTTTTGCAGTTTGTACATCGAAAAAACCTTTTCATGTTCAAACTGTCTATCACTTTTTTACACTTCTGTTTGAAGGAAAGACACTGAAGTCACCAACTACATCAAAACTAAAATGATGCTTGCTATGCAAAAATGTCACGGCATGAACAAGCTATCTTTATGGTGGTGCTACTGCTGACTAACCCCAAAAACAGCATTACTCAGCTGTTTATGGGTAAAAATCAATTTTGAGATGGTTCTTTATAGATAGTATTAAGCATAAATTCATGTTAAAATGTCCACAAGAGCACTTTTTAGCCTTGATCATTATTACTTTTATTGTTTTACGTTCTGGGTTATTTCTAATGTAGCTATGTGCTTTGATGTGCACTAAAAACGCATACAGATTTTTAATGCTCCTTCAAAGCGTGTTTGAAATGAGCAGAAGTCTTTGTAATGACCAGTTTTATCACTCCTAATGAATGTTGGACTAGAGCTAATAACGTGAATAAAACTGTTGGTAATTACAGGAGCAAATTACAGAGTTTTTTACTATTAAGGCATTCTGACATTTGGGTGTGTTTCTTTATAATTTGTTAAAAAAGAATCAATAAACAGACCACATAAGTTACAAATAATGCCTGACTTAAATGGGACTTTTTAATTGCCTAAACGACAAAGTGTATTACTCACAGGAGCTTAGCAAACATGGAAACTAATGTAGCTTCCAATCATCTTGTAAAATGTTGTGTTCGTCTCTTTCATGTGTTGAGCAAAAGCCCCTTGTACCAAATAATACAAAAATGCAGAAAATGAGAGTCTTTTCAGCTGGATTCGTTTGGTCTCCAGAGAACTGTGTGTCGGCAAACATTTGGAAAGCTCTCCACAGCAGGTGCAAGCTTTTAAGTCGCCTCTGAATTAGTGAAGAGCCAAATACTGGGATGAGATTTGTCCTAAAACAGGCCAGAGAGAGTTTTACATGTTTTGTGTGAATTAGCACTTGTATTTTTTCAGTAGATCTCACTTGTTTTCATGCAGATGTTTGTAATTAGGTATCACTACAATGAATCATCCAACTTTATAACCTGCTTCCTCTTCAGTAATTGTAAATGTTAATGTTTTACTTCATTTTTGTTATTATTTGCACAAGTTGACCAACAAAATTACATAGATGTGCACCACCACTATGGTCCAACCTGAGCTACATGGTTTGGGATTGTGAGAAACCTATACAAACACAGGGAGAACATGCATATTCCACTCCACAGATCAAACCCAAAAGTCAGGATCTTCTTGCTGTGAGGCAGGAGTGCTAACTGTGTGGTGCCCTATTACATCCATAGTCTTTATTCTTTTCTTCTGGGCTCCCTGTCTGGGATATTTCAAAAGTCATGTCTCAGTTTTGTCCATTATGTCTTTTTGCCATGATTGCTTTGTCGACTAGATCCATACCCCAGATGTGCCTTTTTATCTCATCTAATAACCTAAAATCAAATGGAAAAGGACCTCACTAAAGTCTTTACATCGTAGAGAGTATGATGTTCCTTTTCTCATAGGCCTTTGGTACAGGAGGCATTAACATTGTGCTGCGACAGGTTAACTCTATGTATCAGCACTTTGCTTTGCAGACTGGTTTAATGCATGTAAAAACAGGTGAGAGTAAAGTGGAGCCCTGTCGTGACGCTCCTGTTATTTCTGCTGTGCATTGCAGGTTAAAATGGTCCTTGAGAAGCTCTATGAGAACAAGAAGATCGCCAGCGCCACTCACAATATTTATGCGTACAGGTCAGTCAAAGTCAGACATATATAAAAATGCATTGTCTGGTTTTCTATCACATTTTTTATGTCTAAATGACTGTCGCACCAGTATTTTGATTTTAGCTTCAATAGATAATTATTCAGATTCAGACAACTTTATTCATCCCTGTAAGGACAATTCATCTGAGCAGACAATTTTTGTCTGTTTAATCCAATCCAATGCAATCCACTTTATTTATATAGCACATTTTTTGTATATATATATATATATATATATATATATATATATATATATATATATATATATATATATATATATATATATATATATATATATATATATATATATCATTCATTAAATGAAATTAAAGACACGGAGGACCGCAAATGCAATTATTGTAAAATCATGTAAATTAAAGTGTTGTGTTTCTCAGTTATTCAGTTGTGAACAGGAAGTCAGTGGAACTGAACCAGTCACAATGACTTTGCACTAGTTCATCACTGTTGACATTTTTACTTCTTTTTTTCATGTGTTTTGTGCGAGTGTATGAAAAGAGAGACAATGGAACATGAATAATATCTGTTTAATGCATGAATAATATATATCGAACATTCTCATTTCATAATATATCATCTCGTAGGACACACTAATTGATACAATCATTTTCATTATCATTTTGGCTCAGAAGGGAAAGACAAAATGCTCACTTGCTCTCTCCACCCTACCAACTGTTCTGCATTTTTCACTTTTCCAAAATTTAGAGTGCCCATTTTCATGTTTATGAGTGGGTGCAGACTTATTAATTCTCTAATGATGAATATAGCTAACTTGTTTTCAATAATGTTAAAAATAAATGGATAAAATATGATACAAGCTTTGGTCCCCGCTGCTCTCTCCATAGCTCTGTGAAAAAAGTTAACTCATTATGTAACAAAAGCCTTGGCCTCTCTCAAAAGTATTACCATAATGTTTGTATACTTTTTACTGTTTACTCTATTAAAGAGAGACTTTAACGACTTCACTCTAAGAACATAAAGACTGGTGCACTAGTGGGAGCGGAAATCAAATCTCTTTACCAATTGTTTTATAATGTTAAAATAATGTATCTTCTGTTTCCTTTTTGATATAGTGGAGCAGCAAGATCATTCAGTTTGTGTTTTTTTAAATGTTCTTCTCTGCCATTTGATCCTGGCTAGGACCTAAGGACCACTGGCTTGTACCCCCTGTGACAAGATTAGGGGAAGGTGCAAATAAAGCATTGTATTGTTGGCTTATACATATTGGGGTGGCAGTAGCTCAGTTGGTAGAGCATTCACCCACTGATCTAAAGGTTGGTGGTTCAAATCCAGCTCTCGACATAAAACATCACAGGCTGAGCGGTCAGATTGACTGACCCACAGGTTGGCTGGTGTGATTCCATCTCCCACAGATGAATGCTGTCGTTGTGTCCTTGGGCAAGACACAGTGTCTGCGTACACTGCTGTGTGAATGGGTGAGTGGTTCCTTGTTGTAAAGCGCATTAACCACCTTGAAGGTGGAAAAGTGCTATAGAAAAATGACCATTTATGCCAAATGACCATGCTGCCAAAATGAATTCCCCTTTTTATGTTAATATTCAGAGGATTTTTTTTTAATGGAACACGTTTGGTTATGTGATGTAAATATCTACTAAGTGCCACAAAAAGGATTATTAAAGCAGACCTATCATGCATAGTTGACTATTCACAGCTTTTAACCACTTAATAGTTGTTTCCTCTCACCATTTACTCACCCAAACTTGCATTCGGAGTGATTCGTGCATGTTTGAGCAATATTTAATTGCTATTTTCAAGATACCATTTTGCTGATCAATCCCCGTTTTGGCAGTGTTGTTTTGTAATTTTAGTATGAATGAAAAAATGTTTTGAAAATGTTCAAATGGAGGGTTTTTATAAATCACTAGAGGGGCTAACTACATTTAAATTGTGTTTAAAACAGCAAAGCAAACATGGTTGGGGCTAGGGGTGTACTCATGTTCATAAAAGGCTCTTAAATGAACATGTTAAGTGTGGAAGAACTTAGCACCCCCAAAACTCCTCCAAACAAAAGTGCCTGGCACTGCCCCTGGAAAGATGTACATAAAATTAAGGATACCTAGTTGTTATAACCCACTTGTGACTGTGCATTCAAAAACTTCAAAAGTACTACTCGTATACAAATATACTCAAGATAGACCTTAACATTGTACCTTAATGGATTTTAATAATGGCTGTTTGAAAGCTGCAACTCTGATAGAGATGAACATTAAGTAAAGATTTAACCCATTCTTTCTTGTGTAAAGGCCAGATCTCTGCAATGAAAGGTCACCAAAGCAGTGGAGGGGCCTAAAGCTCCATGCAGCCCTATGTCTGGATGTCGGGTGTCTATTTGTCGTTGTTGTGTTTAGGTCCTGGTCTAATGAGGTTGAGCTGCTGAAGCACAGCTAGGGCAGTCATTACTCACAGTGAGATGTTGACATTTAAACCACTTTAAAAATCTTCAAGAGGCTCCTGCCATAGTCACCCAAAATGTCCCCCACCTCCAAAGCAGCATGCATGTAGTGTAGATCTTAAAATGTATGTATTTATGTATACATTATGTAAGTATTTTAATGAAAGTATTTTAGCTTTCAGACTGTAGAATGCAATAACATCACAGTTGGAAACATGAAGCAGCATCTTAAATTTATATCCAAATTATCCAATTATATTTATACAAATATACCAAATGTAAGCTCCATAATTTCCCCTGCCTCTACAACTACAAACCTATAGTGCATGATGCCATCTAAATGAAGATTCAGTATTTTACTTCATCGCTTTGTAACTTAGGGGGGCAGTCAGGTCACATGAGATGCAGGTCTGACTACACAGTAGTTGCTATTTAAAGAATAACACACTTGTCTCAGTGGTCCTCACAAGTTCCACATTAGAATAAACAATTTTCAAAACACTAAATAGACTCTAAAACTGTCTATCCCATCTTTACCTAGACTAAACCAAGTCTAAACCAAGAAGAAACCAGAAATAAACATGGTTTTAAAGAAAGTCAGCAGCTTGTCTTGTCTTTAGGTAATTGAAATGATTCATTTTTATGTCTCTGTTAACAGAATATACTGTGAGGACAAGAACAGCTTCCTGCAGGACTGTGAAGATGATGGAGAGACAGCAGCAGGAGGCAGATTGCTCCATTTATTACAGGTTCATTCTACACTATACATACACACACACACACACACATACATATATGTCCACAGTGTGGCATTAAATTTCCATATTTTGCATTTATTTAAACACCACAGTGCAGTACTTGGGGACCCATTTCTGTGATCTTGTTGCTAGGCTTGGTCAGGACTACCTTAGCTGGAGGATTTCAATCAATCAATTAATCAAACTTTATTTATAGAGCACTTTTCATACAAAAATGTAATACAAAGTACTTTACAGTGATTAAAAACCACCTACCCAACGCCCACAGCTGGCGCTGGCTGAATACAGGTGAACTGAATACACGATGTATTGCGCATGTTTTAGTTTGGGAGAAACCGAAGTGCCTAGACATAGAGAGAACATACAGACTCCACACAGAAAGGCAGGATGACCTGGTGATCGAACCTGGAACCTTCTTGCTAACACTTATGCTTTATTATATCTACTCATAATAAAAAAACACACTTTGTTTAGACAATACCACAGAATTAAATAATGTTATCTTCTTTTATCTTACCATGTGGTGTAGTCTTCGGCAGGGTAGGTTCCATAGTGGTCTATGGATACCTGCTCAAATGACTATCTAGAATTTTAGTATTGATTAGTCTGATTTTCATTACTTTTGACAACCCTAGTTGTCATAGTAGTAGTCGTTTGCATAGTTGGCATAGCATGACTCTTCAATGTGGCTATATGCAATGACCTATCAGAGGACCTGCTGAGATCAGTCACAACCCATGCATAAGACCTCAACATATTTCTATAAATCACCCATTTTTCTCCCAAAAGATGTGAGGCTATGTGACAGATTACAGCGTTATCGGCTCTGAGCTCCACATCGCAACAACAAAGCAGAAAAGCCGCAATGGCAGTTGACATGGAAACATTTCTCTGTGATGTGAATGAAAAACAGGCCAAAAGACAGTCCAGGCTCCCTTTAATTGGAAAATGAATGTATAATGCATGCATATGAAGGCATATTTATGGAGCAGGACTTGTAAGAATACTTGTTAACTGACACTTGAAATTTATTGAGTATTAACGGTGAATGTCAGATGTGTAAATATCCTGCATTCCCATGGCGCTCTTTGGAAATATACAGTACAGTAGAACAGTAGCATTTTAAGAAGCTACAAACCTCAATGTATAAATACAAAAGAAAACTGCATATGTATTATGTATTATGTATTATACATTAAGTTGGAACTTTGTTGATGTCACAGTGGAGAAATTTGTTATGGAAAATCTCTACTAAACATATGGTTCTTGCAATGATAGGCTCAAGCTTGAAGATCTTCGAGCCAGTGTCATAATAAATAATAAATAATTTGCAAAGCAATTATTGAATAAGGGTTGGTAATACTTTGTTTAGGGACCACAAATTAAGAGCTAACTAGTAATTAAATGCATAATAAGTTCGTAATTACATCTCTGTTAGTAAGTACTTATAAGTATTATGTTGTTATTGATTGTTGACTGTTTTTTTACTTGAATAAATCCATTCATTCATTCATTGATAGTTAATGGTTCAAAGTTGGACCTTAAACTGAAGTGTTGCCTAATGGTGTAATTCCTAAGCCAAATAAATTTACATCACAAAAACACACAAACCATGTTTGAATCAGTGTTTCACAATTTGACTAAGTAGAGATGAGCAGCGTATAGGTTATCAGTGAGGTTGGGGGTTCAAAACAGTGGCAGGGCTCCCACTGTACAAACACACAAGTGTCTGGAGCTGCCTGGAGCTGTGAGTGTGATTTTTCTGTCCACTTGTCTCAAACCATCAGATCTGCTGCCCTCATGTAGCTCAGTCTGGTCAGGATACGCTGAAACAGGCCCCCCACAGCCCAGTGATGGTGTGCGTTCAATAATACATGCTGACAGAGAGAGTTCTATGTTGCATTCACATGGCGTTGTATTGGTTCATGTCAGATATCCAGCTCTATCACTGCTCTGGAGTTTGAATGGTGATAGACAAGAGGAACATTAAGCAAACATTGTTATTATGTTGCATTTACTTGTACATCAATGTAATATTTTGACATCTGACTTTTTTTGAGTTTATGCTGTGATGAGAAAAATAAAATCCATCCTCTCAAGCCAAAGTGGTTTAGCACTAGCCAGCAGTGTTGCAAGGCTGGCCAGTGACAAATGACAATGAGCAATATAAACTAAATGTCCAGGAGTGTTGCATAGAACATGTAAATATACATACAAATGTAAAAAAAAAAAAAAAGTCAGTACTTTTTACCATCTGTGTGCTCTCCAACCACCACCCATCGCACATACTACATTCATACAAAATTTATACTAGTCAAGGTGGGTGAAGTGTCTTGCCTAAAGACACAACAACACTGTTGTGTTGTTCACCAAATCAAACGTCCAAACATCCAAATCAAACATCTGATTTATTATTGAAATGGCTGAAGAGAAACAGACCAGTTGTGCTGTATATGTGAAACAGCTCTACTACTGAGCCAGTTAGCAGCACAGTCCCTCTCCTTTACACATACTTTAACTTAAGCCCTCCAAAATAGTTGTCAAACATGCACAGGACATACTGTTCTTATCTACATCATCTGGCACACAAAACTGGAAAATTTGGAAAATTTTCTTCAGCTGAATAAATTTGTCCGCTTCATCATCAGGGACGATATTCATTTGTGCAACAGAATTTATTCTGTCAAATGGGACAAAATCTGAAATGCATTTTCAAATGGAGGTAGCAGGAAGCGTCCTAATGAGCTTAAGATAGATGGAGCCTTTTTGAGGCACTTATTTCATTAATTTCTTAGAGCTTGTTATGAATTATTACCCACCATTTGTCAGCATCACTTGTCCATGAACTTAGAGTCCCCAATGAAAATGTTAATGATCTGACCTGCAGAGAGTTTATTGGCCAGAGATGGAGAAAAGATCTACTTCGGAGTGACTTTTTTGCACATTTTCTGGGAGATAATTCCGCTTTGTTCATATTTGCGTAAATCATTGTGTCACACATTTCTCCAGCTGTCACTTTGGTTTGATTTGTGAATATTGTCAGATGGCATCGTGACTCAGTCGCACCCACATCACAGAACAGTGTGGCTTTGTCCACCATGTTTTTTGTTTTGAAATGGGACCAGATGAAGTGTATGCGAAAAGGTGTCCTCCTCCACTGTCTCTCACACTTAACATTTGTTAATGAGGTCAAGGTTCAAACTCAATCAAAATATGAGCACACTGGTCTGTGCCAGCATATGAGTGTGTATGTGATTCATTTATCTGTTCATTACTTAACATTATGTTCTGTCTGTCACATTATGTGAATCTATTCCTGCAACTGTAGGACTGTGGAGTGGTGAGGTACATACCCTGGCCAATTAGATCACACTAAGAGGCTATTTAAATCCACTACTTCATCTAATTCCTAGCTCTCAAAAATCCTTTGGCACATCATTTATATTCAAATGCATGAATTTTCAGACACGTGCACAACTTTAGAACAACTTTTTAAGATGCCAAACAGACTACTAGTCTAGTCTACTTATCATCATTATTATTATTATATGGTAATGCCATCCCCTCTCTCTGATTATTAGCATTTAGTCCAAAGTCACAATATGACTGCATTGATCCGCACCAGTTATCTCTCCATTCAGTAGCAGTATCATAAACCAGTCTCCTGTCTAAATCTTGATGATCTCTTGCTTTTTGTTCTTGTTTCACGCTCAGCTCCTAAATCCTTTCCTCTCGTGTTTCTCTGCAGCGGTTTTACACCGACACGTATAATCGGGTCAGTGTTGCGGCTCGCTGGCCTGCCGCGACTCTCTGATACTATCAGTCTCATTGCTCTGGCTAACACGGTGATTAATCTTCTAGCAGCAATCTACAAGAAGAGCTCCCATTCTTAATCTATTCTTCCCCTAATCTCATTCTTGTCCACAGCCCTCTGCTCATTTAGACTTGGTCTTTTTTTTTGTGAGTGCATGAGCAGGGGTAATGGCATGAATAAAAGAAAGATTGGCCTAATAGTGAGACAGATTTCTCCCTTAAATAACCCAACTAAAAGGTGATATTATTTTTACTTCTTTGTATCATATCATCACTCACATAATGGTGCCTTAGAAATGTCAGGACTATTTGGTTAATCAGTAAATGTGATTATTCAGAAACTACTAAGATGAACTAAACAAAAAATAAATAAATAAATAAAATAATAATCAATAAATAATTTTGATTCAATCTAAACTCTAAAAAAGGTTCAGTGCTTTTCTGTCTAGTTGATTATGTCACATTACCTTTATAGAGAGTTTGATTTCATAAAACTGGTCAGTTTAGAAATGATAATCATTGTAAAAGAAAGCAAATTAAAAGAGACATTGGCAAAAATATTTCAATCCTGTTACACACTTGAAGTTATATTTGCAGTAATTATGTTTGAGTAAACTTTACTTTACTTTGTATAAATCTAAAAAAGAAAGAAAGAATAGTGAAATATACAGTGCTGTGCCTTCACCTTTTTGCATGTGTGGCACACTGTTTCAGATCATCAAACAAATTAAAATATTAAACAAAGATAACCAAAATAAATATAAAATGCAGTTTTCCTGTGATTATTTTATTTGTTCAGAGAAAAATACTTTCCAAACCTACATGATCCTGTGTGAAAAAGTAATTACCTAGGGTGACCAAATGTCAGTTTTTCCCGGACATGTCTGTTTTTTGTGTCCTGTCCTGGGCGTCCATTTTTTTTTTTTTTTAAGTGATGGAAATGTCCGGATTTTCATTACCTTTCATTACGGCCATTAAACTGAGCAGCTCTCGTAGCTCTCTGTACACTCAGATGGAGTGAGCAGACACAGCTGGTCAACCTGCAACATGCCAAAGCGCAACTGCGCATTTAACAATGACTTGTATGAGAAATTCTCCATTTTTCATCCCAGTTGGGACAAGTGGGACGTCATGTGCACAGGTTGCGAGGTGAGAGTAGCTCAATGTGGAGGCCCCAC